AGGGTGCGGGGCTGGAGGACGAGTGTGGGCCGTGGCAGATGAATGACGGGGAACCAGGGGCCTCAGTCGAAGTCCTAGAGCAGAAACTACCTGACCGTGTGTGAACAAGGGGAGTGTTTTCGGGACGGAATATTCTATTACTGTAAGACAGAGATGCAGCGTGTCCCAAGGTAGAAAGAAGTTCACCGTATCGACCGGCAGCCTTTCTGCCTCCTACGTCAGACGGCATTGCATGCTGAGTGTGAGTGACAGCAGAGGCTGTGCAGGACTGTGGGCGTAGCCGCAGTGGCCGGCCTGAGGCCAATTCTCCCGTGCGGCCCGGGGACCAGGTAGGTGGGCAGGTGTGTGTGGGCAGGAAACAGATGAATTCCCCCTTTTTGTGCAGAGGTAGCTCACACAGGGCCAAACTAGTCCTATTAAGAACTCCCAGACCACGATATATGCTATCAGCTATAAAAATTATTTGATTAAATGAATAATAGGCGCTGGGAATGCAAAAAAAAAACAAGCAGAACAATCGGTCCTGTTGACCTCCTTGTAACATGATGGGAGACACTTCATAATGCAGGACATGTAAAACAAGGTTTTGGTCACTTCAGTGTCACAAAGCAAACTACAGCTTGTGTTTTCATTCAGTGTAAGTGGTGGAAAGGTGGATAAGTTATAATTGATTGATTGATTGATTGGAGATCATGGCGACATTGATGAATAAGAGATGCTGCCGTTTATCTTCTCGTCTTTTTTTTTCTCATTCATTTAAACCATCATCATTATATGTAAACGTATGAACATAAGCACGTGTATATGTATACACACATATGTACGTATATATATATATATATATATATATATGCACAATATATACTTAACTATTACCGCGAGTTTCTACATTAGGGAACAATGTCATATAAATAATTAAAAAGCTAAATAAAACATTGCAGATCTCTTAAAGTCATGTTGTTTTCAGTGGCCAAATGGTTGCACTTCATGTACACACTCTCCAAAGCAATGGATAAGAAAGAAAGAAAACCTTGGCCCAGCTTTCCTGTGGGTGACAATGTCTGAGTGATGACAGCAGTCAGAGGAGCCGTCACACCAGCTCCCAGAGCGGGAGGAAGAAGGGAAATGAAAGCGTAGAACTGATCACCAGCAGCGAAGGCGCACTGCTGGAATCCACTTCTGTCAGCTGATAACTAAGGCGGTAATGATTAACCAATTTAAATCAACACTCCGGGCTTAATGTCGCACATATATGTGCATTATTTTCAAATAGCTACAACTGGGGTAAAATCAGAAGGAAATCAGGGCTCAATTTGCAGACTTCTCTGCATTAGTGGTGCTTAATAGGACGGGCATATTTTAGTTGAAGTTTAGCGCCATTTTCTATTGCAAGTCAAGGGAAGCCATTTACAGCTACCCTATTAGTCAGCCTATTATTGTAATTTTAATAAAAAGGATCAAATATCCAACCTGTCCTGTACAAGGGAATATATTCTATATTCTGTAAATTACAGAAACATTTTCCCTCATTAGTCGCTCTGTACCGAGCTGCAGCGGCACAGGCAAAGTAGGTAGGACTGTGTGGGCGTGTACGACTGCTTGACTGATATCTCACTTTTGGCTTTTTTGCATCCCCTATGGTGGGATAAATTACACCCTTCATGGTATCCTGAGGAGACTGGCGACCTCAAGTAATTGCTGGCACAACCGATCCGATGCGTTCACATCATGGGCGGGGGGGTCCAGTGCGGATGACTTTGCTCTTGTGAGAATTACAGAAAGACATAATTTGCATTTCTATAAAAGTAGCTGCTATTCCTAATCAGTCCACTGGGGGGCGCACTCTGAGTGAGCGCATACGTTAGGCCAGGGGTGCCCAACCGGTCGATCGCCAAGGCTGGGCCTTGCCTGCAATTAGAAAAAACGACGACCACTTGGTAGTGCCAATTGGCGACCCTTGCTTACTAACGGATATAATTTGATTCAAAAGCAACCATGGCTACTCCAATCAGTGCAAGTCATCCGAGTAAAAATATAACCAAGGATGTGCGGAATGGCTGAGACGGTTCCCTCACTTCTGACAGAAGAGACGCCTGTTGTTTTTTTATACCGATTCATTTGGTAAAGTATGCAGCGTTGTTGTTCTGTCTGGTTACCGCTACTGCTCTTTACGTTTATTTGGTCGAAAGGTCGGGGAGGGTAGTAGGACAAACGGACCGGAACCGGCCGACGGGGATAGAACGCCATGACTTGGTCAATTGAAAACTAGCTTGTGAGCCAAAAAAGTGTAGGCACCCCTGCGTTGATGACGGCGTCACCCCAGGCAGCAGCACTCGCTTGAAGATGACATTGACCCCCCCCCCCCCCACCTTCACCGCCGACCATCCCCTGCGTCCACCCGTCGACAGGACTATCCAGTGGGCCTGACCATCACCTAGGATATTACTGGTGTGACCCACTTGAGATTAAAGTGGGCAGTATGTGGCCCCCAACCTAAAATGAATTATACATTTCATTCATTGCGTTGTGATTATCTTGATCGACAGGCCCAATGAGTCCATGTTTGTTTGGTTTTTAGGTACTTCCATTGTATTGTTTTTATTATTATTATTATTATTATTACGTGCCAAGCTGGATACATCAGAGCCTTCATAAAAAACACGGTCCAATTGCAGTTACGAAGGAAAGGGTGTATTGGCCAGGCCGGAGAAGAGTTTGTGCTGCACAGTATTGCTGAAGAAAATGCTAATAAGAAGCACCATGGTAAGGATGTGAAGGGCCATCTTCTGGAGGCAAGGAGCCTGCAGAGGAACTTAATGAACCTTCGGGCAGATTCTCAGTCCTTTAATTGAGAGTTTCTGACACGAAATGGGTTTCCAATGCACAGCAAGACTTGGTTGTGCAGACAAGAGGTCACTGTGCCGTTTCTACCCTGAAGCTTGACATTAGCAGTAGCAGATGTCATTGTGTTATTTTGCAGGACACAATTTTTGGCTTTTACAAGAAAAAAGCTCATACAGAAGGGTTATGGAGCATGGTGCAAATAGCCCAAAACACTCCAGTACCTCGCCTGTGCTGACAGCATCAAAAGTTACACCGACCTCTGTCAGAACTTTGTCTCATTGTGGTCGTCGTGACTTACACAAGTACATGCTCACAGAAAGGCACAAGGAGCATTGTGTGGTGATACGTCAGAGCGAGTCACACTTCCCAGGCATGGTAGTCATTCTAATTTGTCCATGCATAGTGAGACCAGAGTGGTTCTCATCCTCCACGTTCTGGAGATATCAATCTCAATGGGTACGTTTGGTGCCGTCGAGCCGTTGCCACCCGTCACCGTGGCCACTGCTTCATTGCAAGTGAAGCACCTGGGTCTTGTGCATCCCACGGGCAAAACCAACGCACATTTCATCCTCAAAGAAAAGGTTTTCACTGTAGGCTGAGCTCTGATTTTTTCTCTCGGCTAATTCAAGCATGTCGTTGAGTCTTTTTCCACCTGCAGCTTCTACAGCTGACAACGGCCTTGCTAACTGTCGCGACTAGCTGGCGGCCAAACAACGGCAGGCGAGCTGGTGTTATGGCGACGACTGTCGAAGGCCGTCTGCATCGGTTTGCTGAAAAATATTCTTTATGGAAGAGAATATTTTGTATTTCTGTCAAGATCAAGGCCGTAGGCTGTGAATTGACTTTGTATCCAAAGAACTCATTTTGATTCGTTTTTAGAAAGAATAGCGCAGATGCACCTGATAACGTTAATTATGGCTTCAATCCAATTCAAGACCGCTGCCATTTTGACTAGTTTTAATAGTCACACTGTTGTTTTCCCCGCTGTGACAAGGCCAGATGGGTGCTGTAGGGACAAAGGGCTTTCAGTACTTTGGCACAAAGGCAGGCAATTCGACTACTATTATTATTATTTTTACGGGGAATAACATGCATACTGTATTACCTACGAGAATCAAAGGCAAACACAAAGATGGAATAACTAAAGAGTCGAAACATTACATAGTTTTGCCTGGTTAAATCTGTTCCTTTTATATTCAAAAAGGCTGGTGACAGGGCACAACCAGCATGAATCCATCATCCCCGTCCGAGCTGCTGTCAACTGCTCAGGCTGCCAGCGCGGATGTGTGGGGAGATTTTGTGGGAGAACATAGTAGGGCTGTGGTCCAATTAAACATAATTTTAATGGCACATCATATGAATATGTGGGAGTTAACGGTGAAAGGGCCATTTTACAAATAACATGAGAGGCAAGGCTTTAAACGATCGAAACATAACACAGGGTTCAGTCAAAACATGAATGTGTGGAATTTACAACACGTTTGCATTTTAAAAGCACTGTAGTTTAGATAATAAATCTAATCCCACAGGAGTTTTAGTGTGGTAATCCTTCTTTTTAAACACATTAGTTCTCAGTGTTTGTTGATTGAAATATTGAATCATTTGTACACCGTTCAAAATGTTTCGAGTGCAAAGAATATCTCTTAAGAAGGGCAAGAAACAACGAACGGCCACAGGACGTACCTGACTTAAGGATGCAGCTGAATCATATAGAATTACACATACAGCATTGTGATTGATGGATACGCCAAAAGAACGATATAAATGTGATCACAATTCTGTTAAATGAAAAATAAAACCCACTCCCAATGGAAATGCCATTTTAAAAAATATACTTTACTTCCATCAAAAAGATCTTGTGCTATAAAAGTGACTTTTTATTAGATTGTAATAGAAATATCTGTCTCATGATGATGACGGTCTGAAAACTAACGAATGTGAGGTGAAGCGAAATACCTGCAGATTTTTTCTTCTATTACTACCAAATCTGGAAAATATTACATTATTCCAAAGGTCACTGTGATGAGCTGCTTTAAGACGGCAGAATTGACCTTCAGAATACCAGTCATGGACTAGTCCTCGGGCCAGCTGTGCCACACATCAGGATCGAAATCAGAACAACTTCATCCACATCCTTTAGATGCGGCGTCTCCTACCTCGGGGGTTATTGAGTGCAGCTTCGGCGGCCTTCCTGCCCTCTCCGCAGTGGGTCTGGTCAAAAGGTAGACACTGCTCCCCCGTCCCGGCCACCACCTCCAGGTTGCGAGAAGGATCCTTTGGCTGGCCGAGGTTTCTCACCCGGTACACCCGGCGGCTGCTGGTGTCCGACACGTAAAGGACCTCCCCCATTGGATCCATGGCCAGGTAGTACTTGTGAGCGGGGCTGGTGCTGCCGAGACAACGGATCCCAGTTAATGACGAACTCAAAAAAAAAACCTTGCTTAAAAGCAAAGGCAGTTTAGATGGCGGCAAAAGTACATTTTCAAAGGCATTCGGGCGTTTTTGAAATTGTAACCAGGGCAACACAAACAGTGGCTCTTTCAGGAAATTGCTAATAATAATAATAATAATAATAACAAGCAGCGTTCGTGACTAGACAGCACCATCAATTGAAGAAAGGATTTTTAGAGGCAATCAGGTCATTCCAGTGAAAAGCTTTTATACCACAGCCTCTCAGAGCCAACGTGTTCCTGTGCTGGAACAACAAGACTAATGTCATCCAATTTTAAACAGCACAGACGCCCACATCAGTAATCTCGTTCCTGGGATTTTCTCTGCCGGTGTTAATGGGGACACTAATTTAAAAAGTATTTGACTAACTGTGTCAGGAAGCCAAACCAAGCTAATCCCGACAAATATTTAAAAGATCATATCAAACGAGAGAGAGAATATAAGAAGAACTGTAAAAATCCTTTACACACACTATAAACCTATAAAATTCTGTATACTAAGTAAACCTAGCGGTGGTCTTTCATAAAGTATAAAGTAATCCATTCGTGAAGACGTGACGATGTGACAAGCTGATGCCAGACTGCATTGCCGGCTTTAAGAGTTGAATAACACTGATACTGTACAGTGTGAAAAATGCATTTTACACTTACTGCAGCGAAAGATTATACCTTTAACATCAGGCTGCCTCATTTATTCTTTCGATAAATAAAGACATTAAAGGACATTTAATGTCAGAGCCTCTCAGTTCACAGTTTAATGCGTCCCTCTGTCTGATGCTCCCCTGTAGTATCTGCACAAAACCAGCAGTGTGCAGACAGCTACGGTTGCTCACATAACGCCAGGTGATTTTTTATTTTTAGTGTCAGCAAAGATTTCCATGTGCTCGTCACATGTTCGTTAGCGTAAATGTGCCCTTATGTCAGGAAGCGATAAGGACCCCTATATGGAATTGTAAATGCTAAATAAAAATAAACGTCAAATGTGAAGAGCTGAGCCGCTTTTTTTATTTTCACGTGTTTTAAAATAATTGTGACAGCTGCAGAACATTGTGTTTATTGCTTCATTTTTATCTTTCCCCGTGATTGAACACGATCCAGAATAATAATGAGCACATCTCAAACCGAGAGCAAGAGTGAAACAGCAATTACAGGACGAGAGGGAGAGCACGCAAGAAAGGTCCGGACCCAAATTAAACCCGGAACATTTGCGCGGCTAAATTTGTCCCGAGCCGAATGAGCCACGCGGACGCGCAATTGTCTTCTGGTCCAGGCGTAATTATTAGTTCACCAGAGGTACGGAGAGGACAGAAGACAAGAAGCTCATCGGGCGTAAGGTTCAACGATACAATACGCTGCGTGGAGGAGAGACCACAGTACTTTTCATGCTGCTCTAATAACTCAGCCTCGGGCTCTGGGAGGCACAGCGTCATCACTGACTTCATTTAGGCTGGTGTTTCATGTGAGCCACATACTGCACTCCGTGTAGGAGGAGTTCTCACGCTGGGCCAGCAACCACGTAGAGAAGACTTGACTTCCGCTCCGTGCACCCCGGGGTATCGTTGAGACTAGAACACGGTGATCGCACGGTGATCGCAAAGAATTCGCACCTCATTGTAACTGAATGGAGATCCAAGCAAGTACTTGTCAGCTGGTCAGGTCAGAGGTTTTCCTGCCAAGGGCTTTCTCGATTAAGAAAAGAGAAATTATGAAGTCGAGAATAATATTGAGAGGTACGAATAAAACTGTGGTTCTATGAATCCTGGATGACCGCCAAATAGATATCGTGCGTTATGCTTCTGCACAGCCTTCCTGCATTGTTAGATTGACATTTTCTGAAGACACGAGACCTTTTTTTCCTCACAGGTTTGAAAAGCAATTGTGCTCAGGGCGGCGGTCGTACCCTCTACAGCCATAACGTCTACCCTTTCCTCACTAACGATATAACCCTTTCTCCCGCCCCCCCTGCAGCATAGGCAAGGGCTTGTGTCAGTCATCCAGTCCGTTAAGTGCAAAACTGTTTACAGAGCTCTGCACTGAACTGCACATGCATCATTTAGACGTGATCCTGAGGGAGTTTCAAAGTGTGCCACTGCTCCGTGCAGCCTATCGTATTTGTCGGGCCTCTCCAAGCTGCCACGAGCTGTATGGCTGATTGCGAGCTTGCTTGTCTCTTTTTCAATGAGATGCACACGTACATTTATCCAGTACATTTATCCAGTACATTTATCCAGTGGAAGGCAAAGGAGCAAAAAAAAAACACAGACAACCCGCCCTGGTTCCCTCCACACAAAATAACAAAACAATGATCAGAGTGGATAGAGGATGTGATCCAGCCGTTCCCGGCTGTCTCTCCGAATCGAATGTCTGGGCTCTCAGATATTATTGTCGAGGACTTCCTCCCCTATTTGCTTTTTTTTTTCCTCGCTCAAACTCTTGACGGGGGAGGAGAGACAATGGTTTTATGGTGAGTACTTGCCATATTGTCTCCCCTCGGAGAACACCTTGTTTTGAAGCCCTGACGGCTGATAGGCACTTTGCTCGGAAAGAACGCGGACTGAAAAAGCTTTGAAAGTCGAATATGGATGAATAATTAATGTTTTTGACTTGGGAGAACAATAGTATGGAATAAAAGAGAAACATTAACATGCTTCTAACGGCAAAAAGCCGCTGCGGGGGAAAAAAGGAGGAAGCAGGAGAGACGAAGGAGAAGGAGAAATCTCCAGGGTGAGGAAAGGTTATCCAAGATGCCTTTAGAAGAATTCAGTTCCTGTAGGTTCACATCCAACGTGACGTAATCCGACGCCCCCCAACCGCACCGCCCGTCATTTTCCCAATTTGGGAAAGCCCATTTCCAATATCAACAGAATATTTCATTACCCATGCGAACGTTTGGCATTTTACTCCTTTTTAGTGGTTACAGCGATATTGTTAAAGGATGGTTGCCTGTAATGATTCAAACCTAGTGGAAAATAAGATTTTAAAATGTATTTGTGCGTCTGTACCGGGGCGACTCTGACTGGCTTCCTTTTCTTATATTCTATTTCATTTAATCAACTGAGCTGCTCCACAATCTTTGCCCCCCCAGCTTGTGTTGAAGTACACACTGAGGTATCAATACCTGGAATCAGTGCATCAGGCTGTACAGAAGAATTTGATCCTTTGTGCATCACAAGCATTTTACATTCTCCTACTTGCAGAAACATGTGCACACCCACACGTATAGAACCAGCGGTAAACACACACCCGGGTTATCCTATTTGCATGCTTGGAAACTTTGGCATGCTGGAGATATGGCATCTTGAAAAATCCTCTTTCCGATAAACCATATCTGTCTCTTGTACAAAAAACACCCACAAGCACGCACACAATCGGGTTGATATAACCTCCCGATAACGGCACGTACACCCCCCCCCCCCTCCCCACACACCAGCCCGGTAACATCTGTCTAATCTTCTGTGGAACACGGCATACAGCGCTCACACCACCATCGAGACTCTGGGCCAGGGACGATGTCGAGGCTGCGCGCTGCACAAGGCCTCGGGCTCTTAGCCCCGGCTCAGGGAGCGAGTGAGCTGCTGCATCCTCCAAACAGACTCCCATTAATCCCCTAAAAACATGAAATCCTTGACATTTTGGCAGATTTCCAATTTACAAATTTAATATTGCCTGCAAAATTTACAGGGGGGGATTTGATCCGACTGAAACCTGAGTGTGTGCAGCTTTTTTCTGTGTGCCGTGTTTGTGGCAAGAGAGGGGAAGTTGGGTCATTGCAATTATGCAATGTGCAGAAAAACAAACCCAGATTTAGTGCTCGGGGCTTTTGCAACATGTCTCACTCTGTGTCACGTGTTATTTTCTTGCATGTGTGTGTTTTGTGCAGGAACAGAATACAAGGTGTTAATAACTGGTTCTCACCTGTGTCGAGTGTCCCGGTTCCTGATAATAAGCCGTCAAGGAATGTGTAAAAGGGAGAAAAGAGAACATAAAATCATTCATGATGCAAATAAGAGTGACGCAGAATTGCGTAGGCCAAGATCAGCCAATTCTCTCCTATTAAAATGGGATTAAGGCTGATTTAGAAAGCTGTATTATTTCACATGTTAACTTAAACAGGAAGCTTTTTAACATTTTCTCTCAGAAGAAAAGGAAAGTATCAAATACAGACACAAAACGTCTGAACCAGAAATGTTAGTTAAAGACAAATTAATAACAGAGAATGAGAGAGTAACGTTGCATAAGGAGAACACTTAACAGGACAAATGAATATGCAATCCGATCGATAATCTACGCTTGAGAAAATACAGATATTGAGATTGTAGCGCCTGCAGCGCCTGTAGCGCCTGCAGTAGCAGATATCACGTCATGATCCACAGAAGAAGGATCTTTGTTTCACAGCAGACACGTTTGTATCCTTAAGAGGTAGACTACAGCCTGTGATGTCTGAATCCTGCACTCTGCTTTATGCATCAAGACAACCGTCAGAACGTATTCTATTGAGAAGCAACAGATCACCATTGCAGATGCCAAACCTGAGCCAACGCCACGCTAACCCCCATCTGGTGAGGTGATATGGTTGTAATTGAGCTCGACTCAATCCGAAGCCCTAAATCCCACCGCGTCCCACCCAGTGTCGGGGAGCCCTCTGGAGATCAAGCCTGCTCCTAATCAACTCGCTCACACGGCGACTCTCACTTGAGCTCCAGTATGGTTCTGGTGTATCCGTCAGGATGGACCCTGCGGATGAAGTTGAAGTCGCCCACGTAGAGGGAGCCGTCGGGCCCACTGGCCAGCGCCACGGGAGCAAACAGCATCATGTCCCGGGCGGCGCCGCTGCAGCTCGGACCGCAGGGGACGCTCCGGTAAAAGCCGTTCCCCATCACGGTGCTGATGACGGGAGGCTGCTGGGAGAGGAAGACGTTCTCTCCGTTTCCCTTGTGAAGGATTCCTGGGGAGGGAGGGAGGAAGGAAGGAGTTGGGTGAGCTCCTTTTAAAAAAAGGCCCCCACGACTCCACCGGCTTCTGGTTACGGGCGACTGGATCCTGCGTCAGCGCGACATTTAATGTCGAATTTTGAAGACTTTTGGTGATTTCACATAGCAGATTTATTCTGGTTTAGTCGGAGCTCCTCTCACTGGTTTTAGGTTTGTAGTCATTTCAGGAAAAAAAGAGGGGTGACATTTGCAGCTCTGCACTGAGCCGTCAACCGATATTCTAAAATCAAATATATATTTGAATAGTAAACGGAGAAAGTTTGAACATTTATGTGAACAGAACTTCCAGCCGTACTGCGGCAGTCTGCTGTTTTACTCAGAATCCCCACAGGAAGCAGTCTGTGCTCCTGTTGATCCGAGCGGACAGCAGCCCGCTAACCCCCGCCTGGCTGAGTGACAGCAGACATTCACTGAACTCAAATAGTTCTTCGTGTCTGCTCCGTGGGAGAATGGCCATCAGTGTTTGTGGGGCCATTTCTGAATGAAATTGGCGTTCCCCTCAGTTAGCGCACGCATGAACTTAATGCAATACATTTTTTAAGAGCACTTTAGTTTTTTAAATGACGGATATTAGAAGCCATTTTCTGCACCGATCAGTATCTAACGTCATTATAATCTAAAAAGTGATGTGGTTGTTGCTGCTGTTCAAACTGCACTCACGCCGCCCTGATGATGCTCTTAAATAAATAAGAACTTATGTTCTTTATGTCCGGAACTACTTTGATTGTTGCACATTCAGTAAGAACAATTTCATTTAGTGGGTACTTGAATAAGTGCTCAATATTTTATACGATCTTTAATAATATCAACATTTATTGAGTCGGTAGTAGAGTACGAAAAAGCCAGTCACCCGACACTTTACTTCAGACAGCAATAGAGTAAATCTTTGTACTATGGCATGCATGTCAAAAAAGTAAACGTTTATCTTGAAGCATTCTGATTTTTGTATGAATTTATTTGGGATACAATGTGTGTGATTGAGTCAAAGGAAGCCAAACTGGTGTTTCCTTAAAAAATAAACGGAGAATTTAACATGAACATAAGCTTGAATTATCCGTTAAGTTCCATATGGTACAAACGATACACAAGTACATTATTTTCTCTCACCGCTGCGTATGTTGAGGGCGTGGTGCTTGTCCAGAGACCACCCTCCCAGGTTGGAGGGGACCAGCTCAAATCCCTGCATCAGAGCCGTCCTCCTCTCCCATTGGACGACGCCGGGACACGACTCGTACTCGTAGCCGACAGAAACTTAAACGCAAAAACACACACACAGACACACAGACAAGGGCTTGATGTTACTCGCATCAAAAACAATGTTCTGTTGACCTGCGATGTCTTAGCCCGTTACACAAAAGGACTGTTTGGCAGACTTTCAACGTGGGCATCTCTCTCCAAACTGTCCTGTAATGAGTGCTGAGACGGATGAAAGGACTTTTGGCGAGACCTCATCAGCGCGTGTTTGAGGGATCAGTGAGAAGTGGAAGCGTAATCAAGAGGAGCCCGTCTTCACCAAGGAGCCCTAGAATTAGCTGCCCGGCCCCTTAGTGGTAATGATACGCTGTGCCGCTTCCCACTACAACTAACAACATCAGATTGAATTATGTTTAAAAAGGCAGCCTGCTGACAAAGGCGTGGGAGATCTCGGAGACATGCAGGCACACGAACGCATACGTCACGGCCCTTTTGAAGAAGTGTTCTTTTGGTTTTGGGTTTTGGGGCGGTTGCTTACTTGCAAGAGTCCAAGAGAAGCAGTGCAACGTGAGCATTTAGCGTCTTGTTTCTGACCAATTGACAAATGCAGCATACAGACTAGGAGAAATGGGGGAAGACGTAAGCAGAGGTTGCTCACGGTAAGTACTCTCGTGCACAGGGGGACGAGGAAGCAATTTGAGAGGGAAAATAATGGGTGATTTGGACACCGGGGTCTTGTGGGAAAAAAAAGTGTTGGACAAAAGTTGTTAGTCGGGAAACTATCGCCTAATTACATTCCGATGGTTCATTAGTTTCAATTTGGTGTGTCCTTGCCTCCAATGTGCTCCTGGTCTTGGGTTTCTGAAGGACAAAAACATAACAAAGGCCCTGGTATTATTTCGAGAAGTCAAATAGACTTTAAAAGGGTTTCTATAAATACATCGCTGTCACCGTCACCAGGGACTCTGTCCCGTAAATGATGAAAAAGAAACAAGCTACAATGACGCTGATTTTACTTGAGGAACAAGGCTTTTTCCAGGACAAAACGGGCCAAGCAATCTCACAGGGACGGTGTCTGTGTTTTGAGAACTGCTTCACAACCGAATATTACCATGGCTGTATTAGAAGACACGACACACGCGTCAGCTCAGGTACACACCCTCTCCTTCTCTCTGAGAAACAATGCCCATGAAAACTATAACACATGAATGCACACGCAATATCTCAGAGGTGAAAGCTTTCATTCCCCTCTGCTGAAGCCTCAGGCAATGTGTTCACCTAAGCAAACAGAGCATGATCTCTTTTCCTCTTGTACTCCCTGGCTCTGTGTGAGCACATGGAGAGAGTGTGTGTGTGGACGGGCACACGTGTCATCGGCTGCTGTGTTGTTGTGCCAACAAAGCGTCGGGATAGATTAGCGCAGGGCGAGGGAGGGGAGAAGGCCCGGGCCTCTAATATTTAGGGCTAAATGTGGAAACAGAAACTGTTCTTTTTATACCCAAGTACTCGACTGTTACTTTGTGCCTTCACCTCAACTAAAAGTTTGAAAGGAGGTGCTTGACATTAACTCGGCGCATCCAAAAAGCACTTGAAATAGGCTACATTGAAAACAAGCCCAAAGCATCCAGTGAGAGAGAGGCATATGCAAGTCTTTGGGCTACGTGTTGGTCGTGTACCATATTTTAGTACATTCATTTGTGAAAACGCGTTTGTCATTTTTTTGTCTTTGTTTATTCCTACCGGCTGTGTCGTCTCAGACGACGTCTACTAACTGCCTCTCCTTTCCTCTAGGACACGCCACACGTGCGCAGACCGCGGGAGCTAACGGAAAACGAATGCTAATGCTAATTAGCAATCCTCGCTTACTAACGGACACATTTGATTTCATTGAAGAGCAACCCTGGCTGACTCCAAATCAGTGCAAGTCATCAAGTGAGGTAATGACCAGGAAGGTATGGAATGGTTGTGACGGCATGCAGCGTTGTTGTTCTGTTTGGTTAACGCTGCTACTCGTTCGCCCAAATACTGTCGTAGCTCATCAAAATTGCCCTTTGACCATGAACAACCGCGGGAACTTCTTTGCCACAGCCACCTTGCAGCTGTGTGAATTATTGTAAGCTACTATAAATAAACAGGTATGTTGGTGCCAGAAGCATTTCATACAATTTCATGGACAATTGTGGATCCCTTAGAACTCTGTCTGCTAACATCCCCCTCAGGAGGACGGACCAGTCTCTATTTGCTGTGCTGTGTAACCGGGGAAACGGCTGCCTGCCGTTAAACGAGCAGCCTCTGAATATGATATTATTTCTATCACATGTGAAACCCAGCACAAAAACATGTTGACCAGCAGATCACCAACATGTCAGCTTAGGTGAATCCATTGCCTGTGGCAGTACATCCGAGCCACTGGGTTCATATCTGACACTGCGCAGTCACAACAACAAGATTCCTCTGAGGAAGTCTCTCCACGGGACTCTCAACCTGTCCTCATGACGGGCCGGAATGACTGTGAGAAGAGGACGAAAGAAGGGAACAGGACTGGCTACGATTGTCTGGTCCTGTGGTCCCAGGTGAGGCGAAAGGAGCGCGACCGCGGAACGACCACAGGTGTGTTTGGCACGTTCCAGATGGGCGGGGTGCATTCGACTGTGGTCGGGGGCACCCTCACACCGCCCGCAGAGCAACAACAAACCCACCGACGAAAAAACATTTGAATATTAATATGTCTGCACACAACTTCCCTAGGGGGTGGGGGGGTCAGCTGTTTCTTCTAAACTCTAATGCACGTGTCCAGTGCAGTGGGCTCGATCAGCGTAAAACATGGGTTGGAGAAGATAGACCTTGAGGGGGGGCAGGGGGAAGACAGGTCAGAAGCAACTGGGGATGATCAGAGAGTTGGGAGGAAAAGGGAAGATAAGGAAGTGCAGTAGAGGACAGAAAGGGAGTGAGTGTGGAGGCAGATAGGAAGCGAGGGAAGGGCGTAAGAGGGCCAGGGAGGGGTTGGGGTTGGAGTTCAGCAAAGCGGGTCAATAAATAAAAAGGAAACAAGATCAGAGGAGTTGAGAAGAGGTGAAAGATCAGAGAGAGCAGGAGCAGATGAAACGCAGCTCGAGCAGATAAGGAGAGGAGGGGCCGGATCAGGAGGAGAGAGAAAGCCTCGGGACGGAGAGATGCAATCTTTGTGAGAGGCCGTAACACTCGAGTGGACAAAGCTTCTTGCGTGGCTGCGATATCTCAGCACTTATAGCAAAAGCTCTTTCTCGCAGCTCCGCTGTTTGTCTTTTACGTTCCACATACACACACACACACACACACACACACACACACACACACACACACACACACACACACACACACACACACACACAGAAAGAACGTTGCTCTTCTTTCTTCCGTCTGCAGGATGTCAGGCGAATAGGGATCACCAGTCCAAACCTCGATAACATCCTCAAAAAGGGCCGTCTTTGCCACAATGACCCAAAGGTGCACTCGAGGTTCTATATCCAGTATGTCTTTTTCTCTTTGTACAGGTGAGAGAGGACACATTTATTTTTTATGCACACATTCAGAGAGCCAGTTCCATTGCAGGTGAAATCTTTACTCCCGTGAAGTACACGCGTGCTTTGCTTCTGGCAACGCTGAAGTTGTCAAACCCGCAATACATAGCAAAGCAGCGCAGATGATTTATTATCCAGCGATCTCCCAGTTCCCAGCAGGAAGGTCACTCATTTACAGGACGATTTCTGATGTTAAAAGAGACGCTTAGAAGAGTATTTGTGGGATTAAAACAATTTAATGCTAGGGTTGGTATTTCTGGATGGGAGCGGTTGACGGAGCTGATCCAAACATTTGAAATGTACTTTTGTAGCCTTCAGGCCGCTCACAGCGTTCCCCCATTTACCCCTGGTCATACCATGCTAGGTGCCACCTTGCACTGTTAAACAATCCAGCCTACGGGGAAACTTTGAGGTTATAGTGTCTTGCTAAAGGACACGTCAAAATGGACTTTATTGAATTGGTTTGTATCCGATTTGAAGATTTATTTGCAGCTAAATGTCCGGAAAATACTCAGCTGGGCTAAAGACATTCTCCCAATGAAAAAGGAATAGTTAAACATTTTGGGAGGATGCATATTCATTCTCTTGTTCAACCGGATGAGGAGATCCTTACACTCCCGTGCATGAAATATGCAACGAGAGCAGTGAGAATATTGGCTTTGTATAAAGAGTGCAAACAGTGGAAAACAGCTGGCCTATCTCTCTTTAAAGTTCACAAATCTACCCATTAACACCTCTAAAAGCTCTCTAATTATGAATTAATATGACGTTTGTTAAATCCATACACAAACAGAAGAAGTAAGTAGGAAAGGTGACAGAGAACAAGTGGGTGGATTCCGTAGGAACAGAGGAGGTGGCCTTTAGTGCACATGGTCAGTGTTGCACGCACACGCGCACACACGCACACGCACACACACACACACACACACACACACTCACGTTGTCCCTTTTAAAACGGGAATGACACAAACATTTGGAGTGTTTTCTACCCACCAGTTGCGTGAGTGAGGCCCCAGACCTCCTGGCCATATATATCGGTCTTGTTCCAGACCAGCCTGTGGACCAGGCCGGGCCCGGCAGGATACCAGCGCTGGTACAACCGTCCCTGGACCGCCGTGCGGACATGCACCTTGGAGAGACCGCCCAGTGGGGAGGTGGGGGACAACAGCGAGGGAGGCGTGAGGAGGATCCTGAGCAGGGAGAGGTAGCCTGCAGAACGGGTGCTCAAATAGCTCAGCTTCATGTAGGCTCCGGGGATTGAAACCTCTTCCTGCACCGCCTGGGGTGAGCGAGAGAAACACAGGTGGAGAAAATCATGTGAGGAATAAATCCGTTGTATCATTGCTTTGTTTTCTTTAATAATGAGCTTACAGGCAGGTTCAGGAAGACGTGCAGTAAAGAGCCGGGAGTACACCAAATATGTCACAGTGGAGAACGCTTTCATGAACGTCTTATTGTTTTTAACTGGGTGACTGAAGATATCTGTCCGTATCCATGAGAGTTTTCTTTTAAATATCTCTATCCTAAATTGTCATAGACGAGCAAAATAAAAAGCCACACTTATTTCTCTAATAAACAGTAAACTCGCTGTTGCGGCAGGCATCGATTCATCCTTTGCGATATTTCTCACGGTTGGAATCAGATACTGTTTGAGTGCCTTAAATCAAATTATCTCTCAGACGACTATTTCCGACACATTTCTCCTCTGAAGTCTAAAAGCTTGGATTCCTCTTTACACGGGTCAACGGGGTGGGTGTTACTGAGCTTACAGGGAACACCAAGTACTGTTCCTCCAGATCTTTTTTTCGCTGCCTTGTTTGTCCCGAGGTTAAAATGTTCCTCGTGTGTCTTCATTTCCAATCTCATCGGATTTTGTAAAATGAGCTTGAGCTCGTGCAGATGATGTGTTGTGGATATGAATGGTAATTTATGTAAAAAGCACTTTACTTTTTCCAGAAAAGGATTGTGTGACCGAGGCGCACATTGGATAGAGCGATCTCCGCAGTCCATCACGTGTCCAGGTAACAAGAAGACAACTCTCTTGGTGCCGGGAATGTTATTTGGGACTGAAATGAGGTCGCGTTGAGGTTTTAGTTACTATGAAAAAAGGTTTTTTTTATGATAACAAAAAAGTCTTTGGAGTCACGTAGGAGGGTAAATATATAATCACCAGTCTGACCTCCAGTCCTGACTTTCAGCCACCTAATTTGCTTTTGTGCTGGAGAAGTTTAAGGATGCAGTGCTAATTTGCATTTAGCTCATTCCTTATTTGCATGATGCAAATATGAATTGAGATAAATTTGCAAGAACCCGGGGAGACCGGGTGGGTTAGTTGCTGAGCTGTAACAAATTGAGCCGATGCTCCATTCCCACATCCTGCTGTCTGAAGACATGAAGCATTGCATTGTTACATTCTATATAGACTAGTGACGACATACTCGGTGCTGAGTTCCCCCCACCCTCCTCCCGGTGTATTAATGTGCAACATACGCCGAGTGTCCAGCAGCCCGGTGTACAGGACGTACCCCAGATGATTCACTTTTTCATGATTTGATTTTCTGATCGTAGTTAAGTGGTGTCGTACCTGCAGCTCCGGCACTGCCGGGCCCTTCTCTGCACATGCGCCTGTGTATCTGGGCAGCGGGTAGGGCAGCACCAGCGGGTATGGACTCAAAACGCTCCTGATGTCACACGTGGGAGTTTGAGCCTCCTCTCTGGACATGGTCACCTGATCCAGAACCAGGAAGTTGTTGTTTGGCGTCCAGATGGTGCGCGTCTGCGGCAGGAACGGTGGTCGCTGGAACATCAGGGTCATAGACATCGCGCCCAAGGTCACCAGGTCAAAACTAGAGATAAATGATGGAAAGACAGAAAAAGGTTGCAGTGAGTTGGAAATAATTAAAAAAAAAAATATATATATATATGTCTTTGGTGCATTTCTTTTGTGGATGTCTCTACCTTCCATCCTGCCTGCTGATGGTGTAACCGTACTCTGGGTGCTGTGGGAAGGTGATGTTGACTCCAACCAGGGGCGAGCCGTCCTGCACGGCGACGCTACCTCGAATCACGGCTACCCGGCTGGAGAAAAAAAACAAGACAGCAAGCCGAGACACAAAGAAAAGGGAGAATTTACAATGATGGAAAACATAATGACTGTTTGAAGAGAGAGAGGGAGAGAGAGGAATATTGTGCTGGGCGACCTTGTGTGCGCAGCAACAGCAAAAAAATGTATTTTCTTCTTTCTCAGTGGAATCTTCGGCACAATAAAATCTGCCAGGATACGAGGGCCATAAATATAGCTACACCCACAGAAAAACCTCAACGCATATGAAGAAAACAAAAACAAAAAACGCATCATGTTTATATCACAGTGACAGTGATACCTGCAGCACAAAGGGATGTTCTATAAAACAGACATGAAACTATCAGTCATATCATTTTGAAAGATGCATCTTGATTTTGAAGGTAAAGTGTGAAATACACTGCTTAAATCGGGAATAATCGTTGAACTGGTCAAACGAAGACAAAGTATGGCCGACATGTGTTATGCGCGCACACACACACACACACACACACATACACACACACACAGACACACACACAGATGGAGCCTATCTGTTTCTCCAGAAGAGGGATAAATGAAGGATGGTGAGGGTTTCTCTTGGGTGGCTGCTTTGCACCGTTTGTTACTCCTGTCCTGAAAGCTGCCATCGATTTCCCCTCTGAAAAACTGCCATATAATTAATTAATTTGTTTATTCGAACAGGAGGAGGGGGAGACACACACACGCACAATTTTTCAGATCGGCTCCACTTCTTGTTTGCCAATCCCTAACTTTCTAGGTCATCACGTTGCCGGTGATGTGTATTTCCTCTGTCAGATGGAAGTGAGAGGCCGCTGACAAATGAACGAAAACACCCTCATGACTGGTGGAACCAAAAGGCATTAATATGTAACAAACAAATACTCTTAATGCTTTTGCAGCCCGCCACTGATGTGAGAGGACGATGCGCTGCCGCGCGCCTGCCGGTCTCCGGGGGAGCACAGATCACTGAGAGGTGTGCGCGGACATGAAGAGCCTCATTTACATGCAAACGCACACGCGTTCATTAAACAAATAATGGTCGACGGACGAACCGATGCATTAATACGGATGCGTTTACTTCATTACCTGCACCTCCTGCCTGTCCACGTACCATATAGGAGGAGAGCTCAAGGACACAAACACCCTGTAGTAGCTGGCATGCATGCATGCATGCGTGAGTCTGGGCAAACGCGGAGCACGGCGGCACGTACCTGGTATCAAAGGGCACGTCTCCGGGGAGGGTGTGCGTGGCCGCCTTGCCGAGGAGGAAGCGGATGCGGCGGTAGAAGCTGTGGGTGTGCGTGCTGGTGGGCGAGGAGGAGGACGCGGCGGGCGGCGGCGGCCTCTGCTGAAGCAGGGCCATGGGGTCGGTCGAGCCGTGACACAGCGGGTCGGACCCGCAGCTCAGCTGCTCGCAGCAGTCCGGGTCCACGCAGTCCATGAGGCCGTCTGACATAGAAAAAAGGAAGTTAAATGTTTATTAAAAAAAAAACACAAAATAAAAAAACGCTAAAAGAGGATCTTTTAAATCCAATTAAAACACACACACACACACACACACACACAAAACAGCGTTTTATGAGTAGTTGGCTGTTTGGAAGGGTGCCTGAATTTACACGCTGAACATGGGCAAGACATTAACATCTTTATTGTGCGTAGTCAATAAAGGCTTTAATAGAGTTAAGTGACTACGGTGCCGAGAACACATTTCTACTCTAAAGGCCAATGTGCTGCATATATCCGCAGTGGAAAGGCGTGAAGAAGACGCCATAAAGGCTCGCCAGGAAGCCATTTTCCCACCGCTCGGCCCGATGAGAAACCCTCCCGGGGAGTAATCTCCTGCAGGACAATAAACGACGCATGTGTCCTCATAACCGTGCGTATCAATCAAATGAGATTCATTAGGGGCCATCAGTGCACAATTTAGCGTCTATTGTTATAAATCAAACCTGAATATCCCGCATTATTCGCACGTGGTCCACAAAAGTTCCGGGACGAACAATGTGCCGCGCATATGAACCGAGGCGGCAGGTAATGGGAGCCAGGCTGGCATTTGTGTTTCCTATTTCAAGCCTGTTTCTGAAAAGTCAGGAAGCGGGGCTGACATTTAAATGCATCTGACCACAGAGCAGAGAGCCAAAGGCCAACAATATTCTATTATAACCTCCTCCTACAAGGTAGCGGAGTACAATGGCTGATTTCCATAATATTCACTACTTTAACTCGAAAGCACACTATTAATTTAAATTCTAATATCACTACCATTAAAAGAACGCACATGTTTTGGGCTTATTACGCAGGCGCTTCTTATCATTGCACACAAAGGGGCACAGGAAGAATATAGCTTTTGAATATATGTAATCTATATAAACATTTATGTTTACACTGACTGATATTAAAAAATTACTGTTTTCTTTCTTCCAGGAGGCAGAATACATGCACAGCACTCGCTCAGCCAGGTGGAATGAATGAAACTCTCCTTTCAGAGTTCCCCTTTATTCTCTGATTACTTGTGATAGAATTTTTCCATCTCTGTCTATCTTCAGAGACAAAAAGATTGAGACTATGAGTGCTGACCGTATATCTGCCAATTAAGGGAGAATAGTGCGATAGAAAATGGTGCCATCTTAAAAGCCGTGCAGAGAGGTGTGAGGATTGGAAGATAGGAGAAGCGTAAGAGGTCTCCATAAGGCTTTGTTAATGAGTCTCTGAACAGTTTGAGATGTATAGTACACATATATCATCAATATTCATACGAAATTACAATTCTACATAATATCATGGGGCATGTGCTGCATATTGCTTTTTGCACAGAGAGCAATTTATTGTAATGCAAAGAGTAAGCTGTCCTTTCCTCCACCCACTCACCACCTCAACCTTCACTTCCCCCTTCATACAGCCAGAATGTGATATTGTATTAAGTCAACACATATGTGAAAGGGATCGAGCAACAATTCAGGAGTGCACTTTCGGGGGAGGAGAGAATCAAAGGGAGAAACTATCCACCTACGAGAACCTCTGAAGCTGACAGATTTAAAATCCAATTTGTTTAATCCATCCCCCAAAAAAACGCGACAGCAATTTGTTGCTTTAATGGAGGGTTATATGACTGCTTCTTAGCCGGCCGCAGTGACTTATTGAAATCACACAACCTCACGGGGACAACAAGACGTCTCTTCATAACCACGGTGCAGGTGGATCAATTGTCTCGATCTTCTGTTGCAGCTTTCTGAGGGAAAGTATATTTCCTCCATGTCAAATGATTTGTTTTAAATACATTTTTTGGTTTGGTTTTAGTTTGTGGTGTGTAGTCTGGAGCACGAGCTGAGATAACCTCCACTGACATCATTAGGGATATTTATTTCAGACCCGACAAAGCTGACAAAGCCACAGAGCAATTATACCACCATACAACATCTTTGTGACCGGTCGACCTTTAGACGTTAAATCGCTGGAATGTGCCTTTGATAAAAAGGCAAAGAGAGGAAGGGTTCAGTCTGTTTTTTCGTTTAATTTAGTTTATTTGATGTTGACACACAATGCTGCAAATGTATTTGGTCGACAGTGTGACGGCACTAAGACTTCGCTCGTTCCTCCTAAACGCCACAGAGTAAACGGCCACTAAATCAGAATAATGATGTAAGCCCGTGGACCCCAACCACCGGGCCTCGCCACAGAATATATAACTTCTATTTGTCTTTTGACTTTTTTTTTCTGAAAAATTCGTAATTTTGAAAATTGACTGGATTCTGTTCTCATTACGTGCGCATGTCCCCTTTGACGTACTTCCCAAGCGTTCCCATGCGTTTACATCCACTCCTCACAAGCACCGCAGTTCCACCCACCGGCAGACAGAGAGCGCGGAACTACAACCCCCCCCTCCCCCCCTACCCCCCCCCCCTCCGCCCCACCGTCGGGTGGGTATTTCGCCGTGTTTATTCGCCAACGCTCTCAAGACCGGGCCGGAAAATTTTGTCTAACATGAAAACAGTGAAAAAAGCTTGGGGACCACTGATGTAAGCCACTAACATGAAAAGCCTCGGCGCCTACGCGGCGCTGCCAGGACCACCAGACGTTTTCCATTGCCTGGCTCTGCGGTTACAATCCAGGCTAAGGGATTGCATTTCATGTTTTGAGCAGCCGTCTTATGCTTTCAGTCAGTCGTGCGGCTTTGATAAACGTTCTGCCCGAAAAAAGGGACTCCTAAATAAGGCAGGTATGCGTTTCAGGCTCCCCGCTGTTGCGCGCACGGATTCAAAAGCCGCTCATCACAAAGCGTGGGTCCGTGAAAAAAAAAAGAAAAAACGCTTTTCGTCTAAACAAGACACTACCTCGTTTTCTATGACGGCTTACAACATCGGCTTAACGGGCACGTCCATAATGGATATTTGATGTTTTAAAATGCATTGCAAACAGTTATGTAACGCAAGTGCACTACGTCCCCCAACCTATGTGTAGGAGAAACAGCCTTACATTGGACTGAAAACGGAGGGATTACAATGCAGAAAACTATTCTGCATGGTATGTCATTTCTAGACATGGAATAAAACTTCTCCGGGTGCCTTTTATCCTACCAGGTGGTATGCATATTAGACGTTTAGCTGTGATGAGAGGGAGAATCAAACACACACACACACACACACACACACACACAGATAAATACATTTCAATATAATAATGACCAGCAGGGCTTTACAGGCGTCTCGGCAGGATTGGGACAGCACGGGAGGATGCACGGGAGGATCGACAAGAAGGAGGAAGCAGGAGGAGGAGAAGGGACAATAGCCCACAAAGACAGAAATGAAAAGAGGTACAAAAGAGAGAAAAGGGATGGAATATGATAGATGTTAGAATGTCACCTCCATCGTTGTCTGTTCCATCACTGCAGTCAGTTTCCATGACAACGCTGCATCCAGGCCCACTCCATCCAGCCTGGCAGATGCAGCGCCAGCCGCTCTGCTCCAGGGTACAGCGTCCGTGTCCGCTGCACAACCCCGGGCAGCCATCTGAAAAGGTGTGACCCACATGTGCACACACACGCATTGTTGGGATTTGTGAGCATGTCAGAGGATCACAATAGGTTAATTTATTCTAAAAAGACGAATTACCTTTCACCACAACATCCAAGTCATGAGTAACTGTGAGGGAGAGGGAAAAAAAAATTGTGCAAGAGAAAGCAATTGTAACAGTGACACCTTTTGGAATCTCATCCTACTAATCAAAATTTCACAAGAAATAATCTGACACTCCCACGCGCACTCACACAGCTCACCCATGTGACAGTGCTCTCCCTCCCAGCCAGGCTGGCAGATGCAGGTCCCGTCGTGGCACTGGCCGTGTTCTTCACAGCGGGCGTGGCACGCTCTCTGGTCGCACGCAGCGCCAATCCAACCCTCCTCGCACTGGCACTGGCCCTCGGAGCAGACGCCGTGGCTGCCACATGGCACCAGGCACAGCTCTGCCAAACAGGTGAGTGGGAGTGGGGGGGAGAAGAAAACGAGGGTGCCGGTCGGAGAGGGAGGGAGAAGGAGAGCAAATGTCGGAAGAAGGCAACACGGTAAAGGAGACACAGGGGACATTATAGAGGGAGGAAGTTAAAAAGAAACTCCAGAATGGGAGCTGAGACATTGGTGTTACGTGAGAGGTAAAAAAAAACCCACTGGCTATACAAGTGGCTAAAAAAAAGTCTACTTTCTCACAACACATAATCTTCTCACATCTAATAGCTGAGATCCCTGAAGGAGGAGAAGAGTGAATAGACTCATAATAAAAGCCAAATGATTCGTATTTGCACCGCATATTTAAACTACGGGGACTCAAATTCAGCTCCATTATTCTTTTCTGACATTTTGGTCGGATTTAGTGGTTATGTTAATACCTCCTCTTTCTCTTCATCTCTCCATCTTTTTCTCAGTTAGCTTTCTCTTTTAAGAATCCCCTTCCTCTCTTTCACCCTCGCAACATCTCTTTAAATTTCGGCCCTACTCTTTTCTTTTTTACTTCTCCAGGCTCCTCACCATCCTTCTCTCTCTCTGCAGAGGCAAAGCCTCATCCATCAGTAAAGAGAGCAAAGTGCTGGAGGCGCACAAAGACTACTTATCCAGCAGCAGTAAAAAGTTATTTCAATTTAAATATACATACCATGGAGAGGGGCGAAAAAGTGGATTAAAGTTGGAGTTTTTCAGCTCTCCATTAGAATTACATTAGCTTAGCTATGCTTCAACAAGACCAGGATGTAGCATGGCAGAGTCCTTTTGATTAAAAGCCCGGCAGGTAGAGAGAGGCCGCTCATATCTCAGACACTCAGCCTCGGTCTGTCATTATCACGGGCTATATCACTATAATAAGGCGTGCATACACCTGAGAGCGGCGGCTAATGCCAATTGCCTGCAAATCATTGGTGTGCACGGTGAGGCGGATCCTTCCCCATCACCGGCGTTCACTTGTGCGGAAAAGAGGAAAATCAGCGCTATAACGGCTATTTTCCTCTTTGTCAGTTTTCACTTCAAGGACAAGGACACTGTCTCACTGTGTACCACAGGTGCCCCATTCTACATGTCTGACAGTGCAGAGCACATGCTTTTACAGCAGCTAACTCTCTGCCTGTTCTTCACCGTCAGTGTAGAACGGCTGCCTGTCAAAGCAGGCGGAGTTCAAAGGGAGAGTTCGAGATTTACAGCTCTATTTAGCAACCATGCGTCTAATATGCGGCGTCTGAAATAAACATCAGGAAGCTCTTAAATGCAAAACTGAATGTTCCTCAGAGTAGCAGTCTCTGAAAGGTCTTTCTCTATTCCCTGACTGCCTTTATTTTCTGGGGATGTGTGTGTGTGGGCTTGTGCATAGGTTTAAATGCCCGAGAAGTGCGCAGTAAAGTGAGTGCTTTTGCAAGGGGGAGGCTCCACATTGTCATGAGGAGGAAAAAGTCAGTGAAAAAACACGCACATAGACACACACACACACGCATCACAGCATTTATCACTTGTGTCAAATCCGCAGAAAATAGAACGTGGAAACCTTAGGGGTGCTACCATAGCAGGATAGAGACGTGCGGTGGCAAATTCCATTTTTTCAAACCATTTCTCTGAGTGCGCGTCTCGTTGGCTGAACCCCAATCCTCAGGTCTCACCAGTGTAACAGTCCGGTCCCGTCCAGTTGGGCTGGCAGGCGCAGGCGTCCGACTCGGGCAGGTAGGTGCCATGTCCTGAACACTGCTCCTGGCAGGCTGGCAGCGGCTCATCGCAGCTCAGTCCCGCCCAGCCGGCCGAGCACACGCACTCCCCGCGCACGCATACGCCGTGCCCGCCGCACTGAGGGTCCACGCAGTCCACTGCAGAGAGAGAGAGAGAGCGAGAGAGAGAGAGGACGGAGGGAGGGAGGAGCGAGAATGAGTCAGAGGTGAGAGCAGGGAGTGAAAGGGCTGGGGGGGTAGTTGGTGGGGGGTGGGTCGGGGTGGCCGGCCTCATTATAATCATCAGTTCAACGGGTATGAAAGCAGTGTTCTTTGCATCCCATCCAGGAGTTAACCACCCCAGCTACAATCCCTGTATCTGTTCCACAACATTACACTTCATAGGACACTTGGCTTTGATAAGGGGGGTGAAATGGGTTGGTTTGTGTGTGTGTGTGTGTGTGTGTGTGTGGTCCTCGCTTCGCTGTGTTAGAGTGTGTAATTACAGCTCTGGGCGCCAAAGCTCAGCACAGTTCGGCTCAGCTCAGCTCCGCCGCTCAAGGTCAAACACCTGATTTAGTCTCTGCAGGCCGAAAGTCCGGAGGCAGCAGCAGGGCGGTCTCTGGGACAGCTGTGCCATCAGGTTATCCTCAAGTGTAACATCATAATTGTTTTAGACATCATGGCTTTGTTTGTTTTGGCTAATTTATTGGGTGGTTTTACAATGGACAGCTGCAAGTGGAGGGGGGGTTCTAAGACCCACAGCTGGTTTGTGAGGTGCCGGAGTGACCTCAATCATTTAAAGCATGCTCATTGCAGCCAAAGGCACTTTTTACTCTCTTTGCTTTCAGGTCGCGGCTACAATTCTGTATTTTGTGAATGCTACAAAGGAGTAAATACATAGTGATACCAATGCAAATTTTTGTAGCGATAGTGAAGTCTAAAAGATGCTCAGAACATTTTAGGCTTTAATATTGCGAAAAACAGTATTTTATTTTACCAAATAAATTTGTAATTACTATAAAATAAATGTTTCCATTTGGACTGAACATGTTCAAAGTTCTTGCGACCCTTTCTTTGGCTCAAAATAGTAAGTGTAATGTTGCCATGACGCTGTTAGCTACAATTTTACCCAAGAAAGGTCAGTCTGAAATAGCTACCGGCGGTTTCTGTTTGCAGTGTACTCGTGAACGGACTCACAGCAATCGCTGTGATTGCTTTTTTTTTGTTGTTGCAAAAATAAGAACATTCATCAATTGAAAGAGGAAGTGTCGGAGATTCCAGCGGTATGTATGATTTTTCTCTGCAATTCAACGAGGTTCTGAATTAACAATCAGCGTTAAAGATGCATTCAGTGTTCACTTGGGGCCAATTGACCAAGTAGGAAAACACTTACCCTTTATCACTTTTGTTATGGCCAGTGTTGGCTGCGCTACTAGCGGAGCCAACACTCGCTCTGAACACTTGGTTCTGAAGACCAAGGTCAGTAGGTGTGGCTTGATATTTGTAGATATGCAATTTATATTAAATAGTTCATTATGTTTTTATCTTTTAAAAATTTATATATATTTTTGATATTAAGCCTACACAAGGCCTAATATCAAAGGCCCATGATTTTCACTAGTTATTTGGTATAATAGAAAGAAACAGATCTATGTTTTCCCTGTAATAATTTATATTCTGAGTTCTCCCTCATCCTGAATGATGGTCTTAGAATAGAGGGTGCTGTCGTCTGTACAGATTGTAAAGCCTTGAAAGGCAATAATTTGTGCTTTTGTGCAGTTTAAATAAAAGATTGACTTAACTGATTTCAAGTCCATAGAGCTGAGCATTCATTTTCTGTGGGTTTGACGCCACAAGAGACCCATTCATTTAATACATTCTCTGCACAAACATATCGATTAGTGCAGCTCTAAATTTAATGCTCACATTAAGCAACCGCGGCTCTGTTAAAGAGACGCTCATTTAAACATGTAACAGTGCAGCCGTCGTTGCTGCGCAGGCGTCACATCACGAGGTGTGTATTTTGCGCTTTGAGTGAGCACAATCTCACCTTGTTCACAGTTGACCCCTTTGTAGGCCGGCCCACATATGCAGATTCCCTGGATGCAGGAGCCGTGGTTGGAGCAGGTGGGGTCGATGCACTGACCTTCCTCCACGTTGCACTCTGCCCCCTTCCACCCGGCCAGGCACGCACACCTCCCTTTCTCGTACACGCCGTTGCCGCTGCACAACACGGGGCACGAATCTGTAACAGCACAAACGCAGATTACACCCACGTCCTCGGTGGAACACACACACACACACACACACACACGCGCGCAGCACTGCAGTATATTAGCCGGGCGACCGCAGCAACCCACCGTGAGCGGGGCTACGCTCTCTTATCTCAGTTGGTGCGCGGATTCAGCAAATCCTCAAGCAGCCTCTGTTTCCCTTTCTTCCTTTTGTGTGTGGTCGCGCGCGCACACACACACACACGCACGCACACACACACACACACACACACACGCACACCAGCTTATCTCCTCACGCTGTTTCAATTTACTCAAGCACCACCTGAGCCCAGCTACCACGGCAACCCAGGAATCATAGAAAATCCCCCCCCACACACACACAACCTCACTTCACTTACTCTGAACAGGCCGTGAAAACAATTGTGAAAACGGAGCATTAGGGGTTTATGGAAAGAGGGAAAGGTGTGGGGGGGCAAGGGGAGGGGGGCAGAACGGGAGAGCTGTGTGGCTAATGTAATGACAGCCAGGTAGAATAAAGTTGGTGTCTGATGATGACGCACTGACAGTTCTGCTTAGACTCCTCATAGCAGCTCCAGACTTTAAATGGATTAGAAAGACGATCCAGAGTGGACGCCCCTTTTTGTGGGGGCGGCAGATTGCGGCGCACTTTTTATATGTTTGTTTGATATTGCATTAAATCCAACACTCTGCACCCGTTACAGTCATCAATTCACACTTGACTTTTCTCAGCTCATGCCAAAACTTGCCCGTCTAACTTTTCAAAAGGCGGAATATTACCGAGCGAGGGGGAGGGGATGAATAAGTGATGAGCGTAAATAAATCATGGAATGTGATATTGTATCAGCCGTTTCCACACAATGAGACTGATACAACCAAAAAATTTTTTTACATAGAAAGCCAGAGGAAAAGAGAAGATACAGAGACGGAGAAAGGTTGTAACTGAACGACTATGTTCTAGATTTTGAAACCTACATCAACACGACAAGTGTTTCAACAGGGTTATTCATCTCTACAAACTTCCAATGTGTGAAGTTGCTGTCAAAAGTACTGCTGGCAAATGTTTCAAATTGACGTGGACCGGCGATGTGCCCTTTACGTTGCTACGGGATTTTTAATGTGAGGCTTTTGAACAAGTGTTTTCTCTTTGACAGTAGCCTAAAAGCGTCTGGAAATCAGCAGCAGATTAGAAGTGAAAGGAAATAGTTCCTAAAACGCAAAAGCCCATTTCTGTTGAGGGGGAGAAAGCCAAAGAAGCAGAGAGGGAAGTTTGACTGCAGTACAAATTTAATTGGGGATTACAGTTAACTTTAACGTACAGTTAACACTGGAGCATGTCAGATAACAATAAGAGGGCTAAATAAAATATGGTTAAAAACACTGGTATAAAAAAAGGAAAACGAAGAATAACGTTCTGCATCTAGAGGTTGAGGTAAAAATGTGAGAACTGACCAAAGGCTTGTTGCTGTAAATGTTATCCGACCAAATGCGTCTTAAAGGCTGAAATCCGTCCATTAAAAAGCACCATTCAACCATTTTTCAAAAGAGAAAGTTATTTGCCTGTGGCAAGTTTTACGAAAAGTGATGTAATGGGTTTCGGGATGGGAGCATCCAATGGGACGTGGTGCTTGGCAGGTATCACAATCCCGTCGCCTCTTACCTTTGGCACAGTCGGGCCCCAAGAAGCCAGCGAAGCAGTGGCAGTGTCCGGCCACGCACTCCCCGTTCCCGTTACAGTCCGTGGAGCAGCCGTCCATCGAGTCTGCGCCACGAAAACAAACAAAGACATTCACAAATCAGACACAAAAAAAAAGAAATAATAAAATCTTGAAAATGTTCCACATGTAACTCCATAAGCTGGCACAGCTCCCTGTTATTGAATGAGAGATCTGATAAGCGATGGATGGCTCCCCAGACTCAGGGCTGTATTAGATTAGTCTGATCCAGCTGCTATCACTCTCTGGGGAACGGCCAAGCACTCACTTACACTCAGTACCACTAAGCACATTATACTGCATTACAGGTTGGAAACACCCAGCGCACGCAAATTCACCCGCATCGGGGCTTAATCAACAAACTGTTTACACGGGCCCAGTTTGGAACGAGATTGAACGACCCGGGTCAGGGACAACGCGAGCGCACGACTTATAGGGGAGGAGGGCGGCGGATCAATGGGATGCTTGTTCCTTACAAGCGCTTTGTCTCATCTGGAATACGGGCGTTACATCCTTCTGTGGGGCGATGAGCATTGCATTATCCTACGCTCGGACATCAAATGACTACCTTCCCTTTACCTCTCCCCCATCGTCCCATTGATAGGTCCATCATGTCACACCTCACTCTCCGGGTAGACAGACAGCGCGGCAGAGATAGATTAAAAAAAACAGGGGGGCCTTTTTAAGCCTTTAACTCTGATGGAAGATTCTGCTGGAGGAGCTGCTGTTTTGTCGAGCTCTATCTGACCGAGATGGAGTAATTAAGATGGCTGTCAGGGGGCGTCATCCTCTGCATGACGCTGTGACGTCCCGCTGCGCTCCTCCAAAAAAAGGAGTGGCCGGTCGACTCCACTGCAGTTCCCCTCCCACCCCCTTCACCTCCCCCCCCCCCCCGGGCTCGCTGCGTTCAGGGCGCGCGGATGACGAATCCCTCAGTGGCATATATAGCTCCCTCGCGCACACGTTACCCGACGCGCGCACGCAACGTTATTATGCGACACCCGCCCTGAGGCGCGTGTGACACATGCTAATGAGGCGGTGTCCCGCCAGCGAGCGGCGGCGCATCGCTACAGAAAGCAAAGTCATTTTCACCTCCATCACCCGTCACCGTCACTCTGACGGAGAGGAGCGGCAATCATCTCTTCTCCCACACTGTCAGGACGACTCACAAACCCCTTCTGCCTGGATGTGTGTGTGTCTGTGTGTGTGTGTGTGTATGTGTGTCTCTCTCTCTCTCTTTAAAAAATAAAAAATAAATCCACCGACACAAATTCCAATATTATATCTGTCAGCTGACATATGCAGCGGACAAAAACTAGTTCGCAAGGTCAGCGGGGTCTTTTTAATCCGGAGGAGATGATTGATCCGGAAGGCCCTCGGGGCGGCGAGGTGCGGGGGTTGCAAACGCGGTGGCGGCTCCGCGACTTTCAGGTCAACGTCTCTACAATCAAACTCTCCAGGCAACTACCAGCTAGTATGGGGGGCCATGTGTACATTTATAACATAAGGCCGCCCTGCAAAATACTTCCTCTGGGTCAAAAGTTACATGCAAATATGTTTTTATTGTGTGTATGTGTGTGAGCATCTGTTAGACACCCACTCGGTTCTTTCCACTATGTGAAAACCCTTTCCAGTAAGGAATCAGTCAAGCCAAAAGTTATTGCAGTTAAATGCTATTATAAAATGGGTGCTTCCAGCCAAGTGATCTGATTGGTCAAATAAGCATTGCAATTGTACTTTATGAGCCTGTTAAGTTTCAGCCGTGCTTTACAACCCTTGGGCTCTATGAATTTATGTAGAAGATGAAATGGCCGCTCAGCTAACTAGGAGCATCCAGCCGAGAGCGAGACACTTTCTTTTCTTGTTTATCATCCTTGTTCGTTAAAAGTTCCAGGCGTCTACCGCCAACTTTCTTTTCCTCACACTTCTGCCGGGCCGTTGTCTAAAAGATATGATATTCAAGAGGAAGTGTGATGACGGCTGAAGTGGAGCAATTATGCATAATTAATAGCCCAGCAGGAAGTACCACTCCGTGCAGACTGAATTAAAGAAGATGGGGCTGGAGTGGAGGTGGCGAAATGGCAGTATTTTATTAAGCCGCAGCTTTTGTGGGTCACATTTGTCCGTCAATAATAGAGCAGGAAAACAAGGTTCCCTCTGCGCCCGCTGCCGGGTTTTTGTTTTCTGTAAAAGTGGAACGTTTTGGAAAAAATCTAATTTGAGTCAACAAAATGATGACTATTTTTCAAATCAGAAGATATTCCTCTCAACCTTTTCATCCTTTTTTCCCCCCGGCCTTTAAATGTGACAGATTTAAAGAATCCAGCGACACACATATTAGCCTGCATGTCGTTTTGTCCTGCTCAGAAGAAAGAGTCAAGGTAACTGGATGTTGTGTGTGTGCGAGAGGTGCGAGAGTCAAAAGATGACAAAAAGTATAATGTCTTCTGACTGATACTTGGCTATACTTGTATACTTTAGTCATTGTCCAAGTACGACTTTCTTCTGTCTACCTTCACGGAGATGATTATCATATTGATTCCCTGCGGCAGCGTTTCGCGTTCGAGTCCCAGCATTACACACTTTGTTTTGCTGTTCTTAATGTTCTCATATATTCCCTCCTGTCCTACTCGCACACTCCATTGATTATATCTTATTTCCTCAATCTATGTCCACGACAGTCTTCTGCTATCCTCATATTTATACTCTGTGTTTACTTCATCGTATCCAGTTACTTTGTGCTGCGGAAAAGCTCAGTTTCCCGACAGAGATGATCTCATTTCTCCCTCGTCTCCCCATGAAGCTCCACTCTGGGCGACGGCACACCGTGTCTTTTATTAGGATTTATTGTACTGTAGCTCAGAGGTTTGGATTTTCTGCCTCTAAAAAACAGGGCAGGGTCTGTTTGCAGCCCTCGTTAGGGCTGTAAATGGGCAGCGAAATGCACTCTGACATCAATCCATTAATATAATTTTTCCTCTTTCCAGACAAATCTCTTGATTAATTATTTTGACAACCTCGGTGGACGAAAGGCTGGTATTTTGAGCCCGTTATGTGTCTGTATTTGTTCGGTTTATCGAATGGCAAAAAGGATATTCTGCTGTGCTGTCAATTGTTGCCGTTTTCCTGTTTAATCCGAGACACGGGAGCCAAAAAAGGGCTTGTATATTCCGGTCTTCATCGACGGCAAATGTGTCAACAAATGTTTGACAGCGCTGAACAAAAATCAGTGTTTAACTGTTCCACGCTGTCAGTCATTATATAAAAAACTCTGTCAATAAGATGTCTTCCGTGTTCTGGCTCTGTTGACTGATTGCCGCATTGGCTGTTTGGAGGGCGGCGATGCGCATGTTTAGATTAGGAACATCGCGAGACAAAAAAAATGGGAGAGTGTCATGTAATACATCTCGTAATATTTTTACTCTGTAATTGACTCATCACCCGTCTCTCTACAGAGTCTCCACCCGCGGTGAAACTTCACCGTTTCCTAACACAAATTATTTTTTGTTTATTTTAAAGGACTACCAGACACAGTGGGAGAGCCGGTAATGACCCGCTGCCGTCTTCATCCAGCCGTGTACTCCTGCATTATTTACATCCTCCGATTTACACTACTATCGGTGAGTGCCATGGCGATGAGCTGCAGTTAGCGAGCCCTGTTATTACCGCGGGAGCCGTCCTCCCCTTTCCAACGGCTGTCTCTTGCCATGCCGAGCTCCCTCTCACGATAGGAAAAGTTCCCCTCAAATGTCGATGACTCCCAAACTACTCGGAGCCCTGTGCTCGTGTTGGGGAGAAAACTCAGCGGATGAAAGGAAAGAAAGGACACTAGTAAAGCAACCTTGAGCGCACAAATGCACAAATAATACAGTTCCATAACCAACTCAGGTTTCCGATTTCAAGTGAACTCGTTCATTTTAATTAAATACCTGCTAAAATAACTTTTATGTGGTTCAAGCAGTACTCAGGAATACATAAATAAGAATATGGTAATGATTATTATAATTAGGGGCCTTGTGTGCCCAACTGAGATCTGACATTTTACCACTTAAAACTGAACGTGTGTCAGCTTGGAAGAAGAAAATCCAATTTGTTCTATGTGCTGTTTGACTAAAGAAGGAGGTTCATTTTGGTTCCCATTGCCCTTTTTACTAGGAACCGCGGAAGACTTTCAGTTCAGTAAGATAAAAACAGATATTGATTTTGGAAATGTGACTGAGTTTAAACATCCATCCATTCGCCCGCGAGACAAATGGAGAAAAAGGGTAAAACTGTCGGTTTCAAGCACTTATTCTCAGGAAGCATCTCATTTTAAAGTGGTCTCAGATACATTATACGAAATAACCAAAGTCCTTTATTCCCTTTAGCTCTGATATGTACCACTGGAAGATTTGGGTTTTGTGAAAAGGTAGTGTCCCATGAGGGATAGGCCTGGTGTTTGGTAAAAGAATAAAAGAACACATATTGAGAGAAGACCTGGGAACATAAAGGCAACCGGGCTGCCTGGAACGATCCTTCTCACCTATGGGAGTGCTGTGCAGCAACACCTGCTCCAGGTTCCGGCCGTCGTTGTAGAGGGCCAGGTGCCAGGTGAAGGGGTCCATGTACTCGATGAAGCCCGTTTCTTGGAGGCCGCTCAGCAGCAGGCCTTTGGGAACCTTGGCGCTGGAGACGGGGTCCGTCAGGGACCAGGGCAGCGCCTTCCCGTCCAACAGCTTCACAAAGTCGAACTGGACGCGGCGTGCGGGAAGACAATCAGACAACAGCATCCATCCAATTAGACGGAAAAGGCGTGAGACGGGAATTTGTCAAACCTGCATAATAGCAAAGGGTAAGGCCGGTCCATTGTGCAGCGGCGCGTGAGCTTTGTGAAAGCGCCAATTTGAACGCTATTGGAAAACTGCCTGCGCACGAAAAGCTGGGGAGTGACATTAGATGTGGATCTCAGATGCCAATAGCGCAACAGGCAACCCCAAAAAAATCAGAAGGAAGGGAAATCATCATCCATGTCGGGTCTGTCCTCCGCCAGACATGTTCCGCTGCAACAGTTTCACTCGCCTCTAATAGCGCAGGCAGACTTTACCACCCGGGTTTTCAAATGGAACAGACTATTACTTTGCTTGTCTAAGCCTCTCTGTGCTCCTTCCTCGCCCTCTTTAACTTCCCCCTCGTCTCACCCTCCCCTGCGCTCTAAAACCTCCTTGAACTAGGGAGTACTCGCTGAGCCTTATTCCCCCAGAGGGCTGTGTGTCACACTGGTGTCAAAAACAGCTAATTAGACCTCTTCATGCAGTCGAGAGCAGGGGCACACTGGTGTTAAAAAGCAGACGGCTCAGTGTGTGCGTGCGAGTTGTATACGTGCTTGTCGTGCGGCAAAGCGCTGCTCTACAAGGTGCAGAGCGCTGGCGTGTATTGTTTTGGGGAAACGTGGCGTTTCGGCGACACGGAGTTGACGAAAAGCGGCGAAATCGCGAGAACGACCCGCGTCCACGCGGGGAAAAGGGCGAAGTCGTCTTCTTCTTTCGATTCAGAAGCGATTGGTTCCATTAGACAGAGTATTGTGATGGGATGTTGCCACTGCAGAGAAACAGATGAATTAACCCTCAAAATGTTGACAAGCATCAACATTTTGAGGTTAATTCATCAACCTCAGGAGAACGGTACGCAAAGTGGGATGACTTTGCTCAGTTTTCCAGTAATGTTTTACGCTGTGCTCTTATACAGTAAAACTCACCATTAAATCCTTCTCTTTTCTAAATATTCTGTTTCACTGGACAGAATAAGTACTGTATATTATATGGATTTGCCAACAGCGAATAAATGCTACATGTTCAACAGGCAGACAGTAATTCCTGCTCCACTCAAACGTTGATCTAATCAACAAAATGAAACTACATACTGTTTATTGACACCCCTGTTGTGAGATTGGCTGTAATACCAAATTGGTGATCACAAACCGGGCCAGAGCGGAAAGGAAGTTGTCTTTCTTACTTCCTACTGCTACACAAGCCCTGACCTGTCTGAGCCCAAATGCGGTTATGGAATCATATTTGTGAGCTAGCTACCTTTGACAATATACTTTTTAAATGCCACATTTTCTGACTGAACTTAAATCTCTAACGCTCACTGACCTGCTCCAGAGCTTAGTCAGAGTGCACCGTGCTTTCCTCCTGGTTAAAACACAGCCACTACAGAAACAATCATAAGGTTATTGGTCTGCCACAGTAATTACCATACAAACACTGTTACTGTGGGCCTGGTTTTGAACTGAACTGGATGTAAAAGCTTGAACCACAATACCATGAACCTACTGCTGAAGAGCAGCAATCACTGAAGGTCACGGTCTCACTTCAGCGCCGCGCTGACCTGCACCCGAGTGCTGATGTAATCCCTGAGCTTGAGAGGCTAGCTAAGGCCAGTGACTATGAATTTTTGAACTGTACTAAATTATTTAAAATCAGTGATTTGTAAGTCCTACTTGTACAATTACAGCCAATTCAACATGACTGGAAAGTAACCGGCCAATCAGAAGTGACACGCTGCTGTCTCCGTATTGGTAGAAATTGGGCCTGCGTTGAGAGGGCTTCGGAGCAGGAATGTCGATGAGAATGCCAGAGAGACACTGTGTAAGGACAGATGCAGATGCATTCGTTTAGAAAGGAATAGATTTGTCTTTGCTTGAATTAAGTAATTATTCAAAAGACAATGTCTCTATAATTTACCCAACCAGCATATGGAACGTGCGCATTTGTCTTTGGGAGGGCAGAGTGTAGTCAGCTTACTTAAAAAACAGCCCCGGCGTGAACAAAAGGGCAGACAGCAAACGGTGCACTGGTGTGGATGTGGCGCGCGGCATTTCAGCAAAACTTCGGCAAACAGCATGCTGCAACAGGAGCCGCTCTCTACCTGGGTGTGCGTGGGCGGTATGTTCCTGCGTCCGTACACCCCGATCAGCGCGTTGTGCGAGAGGGACAGGTTGAACTTGATGTAGGTCGGATGGTGCACGTTCATGTGAAACCTCCAAAAGAGTCCCGGCGGGATGGCCTGGCTCTGCTGGGTGCCGACGTCCACCTCGCCGCGGTCGATGGCCCGGCCTCGCACCCATTTCTCTGCGCGGGGAGGAACAAAACAAGACAAGAGAAAAACACCCTTTGTTGATATCCTTCGGTCCCATTCGACAGATCAGTCAGGTAAGACGGCGAGCTCTGCTCGGTACCAAAGGGAGCAATTAATAACCAACCTGCAAGGTTTCAAAAACCTCAGGGTCTGCTAATAAAAGAGACACTGAATAGACAAGAATGAGTGACCGGCGTGAAAGAAACATCCTGCTTTGGCAATCCTCCGGATAGGCTCTGCATGAAGATGAACTGCTTTAGAAAGGAAGCGTTTTGTCTGGGAGCTGTCTACTGGGGCTTTGTCGTGTGCTATATTAGCATCCTCTAACAAGAAAGGAAGAGTTCGTGTGTGTCTGCGTGTGTGTGCGTGCGCACGCGGGTGTGAAAAGGAGAAAGACAGAGAGGTGTATGACGAGAAATCGAGGAGGGCGAGGACATGAGCGGCGTTCACAAACAGCGGCGGAGATAGCGTCCTGAGTGGGAGCATGTCTTTGTGTGCGGAGAGAATGGGCCTTTCCAACAGTCCCCTGGCCGTCAGCTCCTCTCCATAAGCCTTTATCAACCCAACTCGGGGCCCGCAGTCTTTTGTGCAGGGGGAGCGGGGCGAGGCTCTCCGGCCCTCTTTGTGTCGGTGCCCCTTTATGGAGAGATATATCTCTGCTTTTAAACTAAGATGGAGAAAATACGGTGACGGAGGGGGAGTCGATCGTTACGGCCACAAAAAGGCAAAAGAACAGTTAGGGGCAGATTCATGGAGGAGGCTACCTGCTCTCGGCCTGCGATGCTCCATTACAGAGAGCCCCCGTGCCCACCCACAGGCCCGCCGGCGTACATACATCACATGTGCTGTCACGCAGACAGGCAGACATAAACGTGTTACGGTTATAAATTCTCCCTCCGGATGTGTTTTAATAACTTTGGGAATCCAAATTTTTTTTGTTTTTCAACAAATACTTGGTGACAAATGATGGCAATCCCCATCGGCCTGAATGGCACTTTGCATTCATTGTTAAAAAGGAAAGATGATATTGCTAACGCACTAAGAGCCTAAATGGAGGTGAAATTCCAACTGCTAAATAGCAGAATGTTAGCAGATTCACGGTGAATATATTAGCACACTGCTGCTGTCAACATTCTGCTCCATTTTCCGCGTTAACATTCTCCCAAAACCAGAGCCACTGACATGGCTGGATCCTCCTTAGACCCTTCCTCACTTCTAACTTTAACAAAAACATCATGCTAATCAGAGGCGAAGCATTTGATTCTTCTTCTCATCTTCTGTCTGCGGCGCCTTTGGATAGAAACAAAGTCAATTGATTAATTTGTCAATTGATTGAACTTCACCGAGCTGCGGAAAAGACAAAGCGAGGGAAACATGAGACCGGAGCGAGCACAGAAAGGGAGTTCAAAATGGTTTGCGGTGAAAGGGAGACAAGAGACAGGTGTCCCGCGGGCGGCCTAAATGGTCCCCCAGCTAAAACATCGAGCCAACCGAATAAACGCAGCGTTTGTGCTCTGTATCTCTGCAGTCTGTTCCTTTTTATAGCTAATGCTGCCTATAATTGTTTTTTTTTTTGTTAAAAGGCCGGCGAGAAGGAGAGCAGCCCTTTTATTCAGCGATAGATGAATGGGACGTGAATAGGGGCTGACAGTTGGCAGAACTCTGGCGGGCGGCTTGACGAGCAGGCCGGCTGGGAGGCTGGCGGGCAGATGAGCCGCCACGTCCCTCTGATGCTAATGACCGTACAGCGCCTCTCACAGTGTGACGCAACGCGGTGACAGAACGAGGCGCTCGGGGTCAGCCACGAGGACGGGTGGCTGGATGTCAGAGACAGAAGGTGGGGGGGGCTGTAAAGGGATGAGGCGAGAGGAGCATCTCCAAGAGGAGGTGGCGTCAAGTTACAGCTGCTGATGCAAGAAAGAAGGATTAAAAACCTCTCTCTCGCTCTCTTTCTCCCTGAAGCACAACACTGCAGCTCAAGAAGAAAAGAACATACAAATCGGGTCATTTTGGGGGGAGTTCCCCACAAACCCCGGGGTGCCGGAGGCTTCTTCAGAGCACGCCGGCCGCTCAGATTAGCTGCTGTCAACCCACGTGCTCCACCATAGTCCATTCTTACGAAGCCCTCTTTCAAAAACACCAGATTGTTTGATTCTCCTCGGCAGGCAAAAGGCAACACAAGCTCACAAACAAGCCGACATGTGAGGTGATGTTCCTTCACACCTTGATGTCTTGTGGCTCTAATAACCGAAAGGCTGCTGGAAACATCTTAATTTGCGGTGGGTGACTCACAGAGAAAATAATAAATGAATGAATCTCTTGTGGGTTTCATCATTAGTTGGCAGCGAGTTCTTAGAGGCGAGATGAATTACTGTTGATTTCAAAATAAGATTGTGTAAAGCGGCAATGAAAGTGTTATTCATGTCTGCCATCAAGTCCTGCGCGGCCTTGATGGAAACGATAGAGGATCAGTGGGCTGGTCTGCTTAGAACCCACATTCTATACAGTAACCATTCTGCCTCAGCCAATTATTCTTTAGTGTGTGAACATAACGCACATATTGCAATTAATCCTCCTACACACACCTGAAAGGTTCCTACACCACAGGGCCTTTGGATTAGGAGCGTTTTAGACAGTCTCCACCTTTTCCGTTTCTGATGCCAAACTACCGTCTTCGTACTGAAGGGATTTAATTCAGTCAACCAAAGAAAAGAGTTCCCTTATTCAGCCTATCATTGTGCTTGATAATAAATTAAAAAATCGACAATGTCTTCTTATAATAAACAAATAAAACATTGAAAGCTTTATGCAGCATCTTTAATTACTCTAGTCTACTTACTTTAATTACTTTAGCCTATTTATTGTACACTGAAGTATGAACAATGCACTCAATGCCAACCGGTGCACACCTTCTCATATTCATGTTATTCACAAAAACAGGACAAGCCCGTCCTCAAACAGCCAGTAACAGCCCTCCCTATTGAAGTATACAGTGGATCCCTTGACCGATGACAATGGCTGTATTCCCATCATGCAAAGTGTGGGAACCACATCGGTGGTTTTCTTTATTTGAGTCGCACCAAGGGGAAAAACATTACGCATTGTTGCGTTTCCGTTGGGCCCGGTTTCTCTTCACACTGACATTTTACAAACAAACCAAAAGGAGCAAATGGGAAATGATACTGAGTGCAAAGCAGCGCTTGATTGGATGGAGTTTTTCATCCTTCATAGTCACTTCCCACATGGGGAGTTATGCTTCTGACGTGTATATATATATATATATATATACACACTAAGCCTTTGTATAATAAAGTAGAAGCGGGGTTGGCAAAAGCCCCATTTGCAAACGCGTCAAGGAACGCTCGCAATGGCTCTGGCACACTTTTTAATGACCTTGAGTCTGACAGCTTTTAAGTTACTAATCAAGAACATAAACCGTGACAACATGCTTTTAAAGATGTCCTTAAATACAAATCAGTTCAGTGAGCTTGCTTCCTCAGCAAATGTATGAGGAGCTAAGCTTTTCAAAACATGCAAACGTCACATACATGCCATCACATCTGGTCTGTTTGCTTTCACACCAGCCAAAACGGACAAATACCAACCGGGAAAACACAGTTTATTTCAACCGAACCGAACGGGTTGGCTGTGAAAGAGCCCGAAAAGTCCGTCTTTTGTCCGTCTCTGGCTGTTTTGAGGGGTTGATTTAGTGTGTGTGGATGTGTGCGCCAGGCCAGCAAGAGAGATGAGCTACATTAGGCCTTGGGACACACGGTCTAATTAATTTCTCTTTCCTGCGGGTTATTCCGGTAAAACAATTACACCTGTAATCTATTTTCAAAGGAACTAAACTGTCCTTGCAATTAATGTTATTATCCCTCAGATTCAAATGAAGCGAGAGCAGACTAAAAGTGCAGGCGGGTCTTAGTGGCGGGACGCCTCTTGGGGGGATGGTAACAACTATGTGTGTGTGTGTGTGTGTGTGTGTGTGCGCGCGCGCAACGTGTGCATGCGAGCCAGTCGATATCGAAGCGTTCGGCTTGTGTGTGTCGTTTTTCACACACACATCGGGACAACATTAATAGTGTTCCAAATGCGAGAGAGATTGAGTTTGCCGCAGGATGAATAAAAATATCACAATGGGCAAGGTCTCTATAATTACTCGGATTCAATTAAGGGCTTTTTGAGCAGTTGGTTTAATAAGCTTTCAGCCTCCTCTCTCCACTGTGCAGCCTAATGAGTGTCAGTCAGAGTCAGGAGAAGATAATGCTCTTGGCCTCGGGGCCTTCCATTACTCTCTCGTCCTCACCTTCCCCGATCAGGGCCTCAGGCTGTCTCGGTGACAGACAGGGCTGCCTGTTCACACACTCATTCCCTCCGTGCTACTCTGAGTGCACTTATATGGTTACACCTGTAATATGTGTTGCATGAAATGACATACGGAGAAGACACTTGCGTTTTTCCTTCTTCTTTCTATTGCTTGGGCTGAAGCCGGGGGGGATTCATGCTGTGAGTTATATATGGGTACAGATCAGAGCACAATCTTATTTTGTCATTTCCTTTTTGCACTTTTTAGTGGGGAGAACAAGGTAACTTTTGAATTACAAGGTGAAGATTTAAAGTGGTCACGATGACCTGTGAGCACTTTTTATTAGAGAGGAAATATTCGCTCTTGGATTGATTCACTTTTAAACGCTCCGAGGTATCCAGTATTTATAGAAAACAACTCTACAAGACTTTTGATAAATGTATAAAATGGTTTACATTAAGTTATTTATCAGTTTATTATCAACTCAATTTGTAAAATGAAAGCTCACTAAACCTGGTGAATAGTTTGCACCTTGGATGAAGAGGATGCAGAAAGCCTTGCAGACCAATTAATGTGGGATGGGATGAATGTGATGAATCCTTTGGACCAACCTCTCAACACCAAAACCTGTGGAAGTGGAATTGAAAAGCTTTCCTTAAGCAACAGACCAGAACACAGCGTTTA